ATTCACAATATACTATTCATTTAAGTGTCCATTAAACATTTATTAATTTGGATTTTGGTACAATGTATTATCAGGATTGTACTCTCTGGACAAATGAATTAACCTTATGAAAAACTTATCCACTCCTATTCCTGATTTTCTTTTTTAAGGAAAGAAATCTAAATGATAGAAAAACTTGTTTATTACAGCTTTAAAATAATTCTTTTAGGTGTTATATTTTAAAAAGATTTATTTGTGTATTTTATTTTGTAATTTAATTTTATGGATTTTAATTATAATTTTATTTTACCGTCATTATTCTTTTTGCTTTGGTATTTTGATCTTGGATGACCTAGAAGACTTCTCTGCCTTGCACTAGAATTTTCAATTGTGGGTGAAATAGAATACTTTTGTTTAACAGTTTGATTTCAAGTTATGTCATAACCTATAATTTTCTTAAGAGGAAGAAAATCCATCAATTGAACCCTATTGTTTTATGGCATTATGAGTATATACTGTTTTGTTTCTCTGATTGTGGCTTAGACGATAGCCATTTTTATTTTATTTTATTAATATTATTACTTTTTTTACATTCTATGATGATGTTGTGGAGCAATTGGGGGGGAGGGGGAGAGGGAAAAGGGGAAGGAAATGGGATGGGAAGAGGAGGGGCAGGATAGAAGCCTGTGGTACCCCCTCATTCCCACAGGAGAGACCGGGGGGCTTCCCGCAGTGGCTTGGTCATTGCCGGGCTGGGTGTAGATGTCAGGGGTATGTGGCAAAAGTCCTTGCCCCCCAACACCCGAGCTTGGGAACCCAGGGCCCTTCTTGCTGCAGCTTCATGGTCATTGCTGGGCTGGTTGTGTGTGTCAAGGGGGTGTGGCTGAGGGCTTCGGTCCCCCGCTACCCCAGCTTGGGAGAGCCTGGGTGCTTCCTGCAGTAGCTCAGTGGTTGACGCTGGGGTGGTTGCACATGTGGGGGTGTGTGTGGCCAAGACCTGAGGCCCCCACCCTTGGGACTGGTTGTGGGTGTCAGGGGGCATGGCTGAGGCCCCCAGCCCTCCCCCCCTTTCTGACTTGGTAGCTCAGGGGACTTCCAGTCCTTCTAGGTGTTATAGGTGTTTTTTGGTGAAATGAGACCTTTACTAGTTAATATCAAATTTTGTCTCTGGTTGTGGGTACTTTGTTTTTTCTTTCAGTTCTTTGTTGGACTATTTGCTGTTCCCACCACTTAAACTCTGTGCTGGAACTAATTTGTTGTCCTTTGCTTACTTCTAAAATGGGGGAACTTCCTGTGGAGACCAGGACTTGAGCTCTGTGGTTGAGCTAAATTGCTGCTTATTCCCTAGGAAAGCCTTTTTTGTGCAGAACAGGTTTTAATGGTTGACTTTATAGGTATTTCCAGTTCTAGTGAGATCTGGTGCACCTGGGTTGTGTAGAAACTCTGGTTGGGGCCTGAGTCTTTTCATCAAACTGCACCCCATGCAATTCTATATTCTTGACCAGTCTCCTCTGAGTGGTCCTACACTGATTGGGGGACAGATTGGCTGTCCTTGCTGTGCCCCAGTGTTCCCCCGGTGGTAGATGACGGCCATGTTTAATAAACAGACTGGTATCTTGCCAATATGAGAGACTTGAGATGTCAGTGTGGTTAATGGTATGCTTCTTCTGTTTTGAGGGACTAAATGTACTAAAGTTTAATTGGCATAAAATTTTACCATATTGTTCACTAAACTACTTTTCACTTTATACCAATAGTTATCTGTAAAGCAGAATTGGTGTTTAAAATCCACATTTTTCTGTATTGATTTATATTATAATTTTGTGTTCCTAGTAAAATTATTCTAATATCCAAAGAATAAAGAGCACCTCACAAATTATGTACAGTAACATTTATTCAGAACCATCAAAGAAATGCATAATTTCTCCCTTTAATCACAAAACTTATTTTAATCATTGTGGTGAAAGCTATATTCCACTATATTATATATTTCCTTTCCTTCTTAGAAGGTATTAAAAATAATTTAACCTCTTACTGATGCCAGAAGTCATTACTATAAGCATTAATTATTGCTCTAGATGATAATTGTTCCACACTGGGAGTTTGCATTTATTGATGAGGTTTGTAAAATGTCTTGTGTCTTGTTTCTGTACATTTTCTCTCTCTTCCCTTTCTCTTGGTTGCTACCTCTGCCTTTGGCAATCTTTACCTGCCCTGTTGCAATTATTTGATTGCAATTAGCTGAGGAACCTCATAACAAAGCTTATTAAAAGTAACACCTAAAAAGTCTGAAATAAAAGGGCCGAGTGACTCTTTGATGAAATTTCTCATGTCACTTATCTTCAAGAGCCAATTTATATCTTAAGATGTAGCTCCTATTTCTCCTTCTCTGTGAAACCTCCCAAGACTAGTCAATTCCTCCCCCATTGGTATATTATTTTGACGACTTTACCAACTAGTACACCCAGAGCTAAGAACCCAAGCAGTATGTCTGTGATCTTAACCACTTCACTATTACTAAGAAAAACTATCGAAAACTTGGAAATAAGGTGTGGGGGGAGAGGAGGCATGTCCTAACCAAGTTACGCTGGAGCATTGTGTAATGGCCCACCCAGGGCTTAATTCTCTAGGAGAATGTATCTGTGTTTGATTTTGCTCTTTACTATTTGATTAGAACCCAGACACTACGAAGTTACACATTAGTTTGTAGATTTCTGTCTGGCAGACAGGATCACCTCAAAAGTTATAGTTTTATTACCTGGTAGGATATTAGCCAGCGTGTATATCTAGCCTAGAAATCTTATTGTAACATTCTTTTAAATGCTTGTAAATTCCCAGTTCTCCAATTGTTCTTGGAACCAGCTTTACTATCATATTGGCTCCCTCATTAATGAGATATATAACTTT